ACACTACAACAAACAGATTAATCCTACACATAATACAGCTGTCTAGTCGTTCGGATTGGACGAAAAACCAAGGTCCCGTGTACACATTGGCGTTCACGTAAAAGATCCCTCGTACCACACTGTATGGCGTATGACCATCTAAATTAGCCCAGTTCGGAGCAGAACAGTAGGGCGTTAAACCCCATTTCATTTCATTTCATTTCGGATCGAAATTAACTGCGCATGTCCGAAACGATGTGTAACTTGTACGATTTAATAGAGATACGAGGTAAAATAACCGAAAATGTGTCGTATAATTATAATTAGTCTGCATGTGAACTTTGGACGACAAATTTTAATGAAACCATCGCCTACAGTTGCTATGTAAATTTGACAATGTGCTGATAAATGCGTAACCATTCCTTCAGGAATATGGAATATCTCACGCACTGAAAAGTAGTAACTGGCAAAATACACAAGCTGTATTCACAACACCCGAGGTCACTGACCTTATATCGTTTTAAAAATGTGACAAGATCTTTGAGGCTGAAAGACCTAAAAATATCGATTCAAACCTATAGTTTACATAAAGTGTGAATGATCACGGTAAATGCACTACACATTCTTTTATATAAAATCAGTCTTGTGTATTAAGAAAGCATAACGATTGTAAACAAACATTTTACTTTCATTGTTATTATTATCTTTGATCTTGCTGATTAAAATCGAAATTAATCAATCGATATCGATAGGATTGTCATGATTTGATGACAAGATAAGGTAATGATCTCATTCAGTTGGGGGTTGGTTCTGTCATTGAGTCAAGTGGCATGGTTTCGATCCCCCGCTTGTACGTGACAAGGAGTAGAGTCGCCTGTCCGACCTCGTGGGTTTTCTCCGGGTTCCCCGTTTTCCTCCCATTGTTATAGACCCCTACGCGCAAGCGAATTATTGGAATAAAGTTAAACTGTGTGTTAGTATCGAAATGGCCTAGTTTGTGTCGAGTGGACGTTAAACCCCACTTCTCTCTCTCATTGAGTTGTTGAAAAGCAGGCTTTATTATATTGCCCTTACACAACATTAGCTAATACTGATTTCAGATATATAGTTAAAGGGGTTGTCTATATATGTATATTTCTAGGTAGATATCGATGACAGCTATTTTACGAAAATTGGGGCAAACATAAAAAGTAGAAAAGCAACAAATATTCAAACGTTCTTTCGTGGGTAACCGATTAAAGATAAGTTAATTGTAGTTTATTTTCAGACTGGAAATATTAGCCACGTCGACACCATTATTGACAGATGACTTCAGTGTAAATCTAGTAAATTCATAAAGTGACGCCTGAACCAGTTTGTTTGTCTAAACTAAGCACCTAATTTGCATACATACAAACATTTTTATGTTTTTGTTTTTAAATAACTTATGTGAATATCTTTTACTTTTTAATATTTTGATTCAAATGAACACTGAGATTTGTGTATCTTATCCAGAATTTCCATTTATATGGGACCGATCATCAAGAAACAGGGGGCTATATTTTGCAATATTCTGTATCAGTTTCTAAAAACATGTGCGAGAGAGATATTTGCAGCTTGCGTGTCATTTTGTCCATTATAATAAATAGTTTAAATACAAAAATACAACACAAATAAGAAGTGGTATCAGATATTCTAGAGAGAATGCGTCCCGTTTCGTACATGAAACCGACTATTACTGATAGGTAATTACGGGAGGGACTTTGGGCTATAATCAGGGCCGATGCTATCATTAGGTCAGCTAGGCTGCTGCTTAGGGCGGAGACCGAAGTGGCGTGCAGTACTGACCCTTGCGGTTCACAGTAGATGTCAAAATTATTTGCTTTTGAGAAAAAGAAACGATATGTTACATATTCTTGCAATTTAAAATAAATTTTGTAGTTCATGTTTTGTAGGCTTAGTTGGTCTTTAAAAGGTCTAAACTAGTCCTGCTCCTAGCAAAGGTATACTCCTGCGTTCAATTGATGTAATATTTCGTAAATTACCAGCTCCCGACACACGTCGAATGTGTGAATGTGGATCCCTGTTTCAGTAAGTGGGACCAAAGTGGAGAACCCGTGTTAGACAGGCCACAGATCACTAATTATTTCCCCATTGACTTTAATGTTTAAAATTCTCGTCTCGTAGACCGGCTCTAACTTTTTCCCAAATTTTCGTTGGGTAGAACGCTTTCTGCCGCAGATGGGGCAACATGTGGCAAAAGCATGTATGAGGTTCACCATGAAAAACTTGAGATACACAAGCTGGAAGTAGAGACAAGTAAACATGCCATTTCCGGCCCTACATTTCAACGTAACCAACCTCACAACTCTTGTATCCTTCCGCCTCAAAATCATGAACACCAAAACCTGGCAGAAAATGTATTTCCAAACCTTTTTTTTCGATTCTACACCAAAAAGTCAACAAAAATCGCCATGCAAAAGGTGGGAAAAAGGGAAAGGGAGAGAGATACTAAAAATAACTTTGGGTGACGGCGTAGAAATATTTGGTGATCTGTGTCCATATGTATAAATACTGTGAATAGTTCCGATAATATAAAGTAACGGTAAATCTATGAGCACTGTCATTAGAGTTGGATTAGAGGTGTCTTCCTTTCACACATTATTTACGACTAGGCCCTAATTGTGAGTCTTGGGGGTGGGGGAGGGGTGCTCGATTGTCAGTCCGGAACGTCCCGAATTGACATAATTGCAATCAAGTGACGTGGAATTCTGTCCTGTTATATGTATAAATACTGTGAATAATGCCGATAATATAAAGTAACGGTAAATCTAGGAGCACTGTCACTAGAGTTGAATTGAAGGTGTCTTCCTTTCACACATTATTTAGGACTAGGCCTAACTGGAATCGAACGCGACATAACTCACAGATGTGATTTCTGGTTTGAACAATGTTACATATGATGTTTTTTTTTCTATAAATAGTCTTGCCTTGGATTGATTGACGTTTTACCGCAGGACATGTTTTACTTTTAATTAATAAAATGCAGATAATTGATAACAACATTAAAGAGCCGTCACCTGATCATCTATTGATGGGTATAACGCTTGATTATGACGTCCTCAAAAACTGATTTTTTTAATACAGTGATATTCAATATCTGGTGAAAAATATCTCTGATGTTCTGTCAGTAAGTATTTCCGATAAATTTCGGAAATTCAGGCATAAAACTAATAATCATTTTATCCCGAGTATTATTAGAGTGATATTTAGGAAAAACTGACTTGTTGATTATAACCACACAATCCTCACCGAAGTTACTTTTCAACATAGACATCTCGCCCCCCCCCCCCCTCCACACACACTTTAATTCATTACATTATTACCAGCGATAATGATCCCCAGACACAAAATCGCATATACTGAGCGCTTCAGTCTTTTGGTGAATTATCATGCATGCTTTTAAACTTAAAGATCTAGTTGGTACTTTTCAGGTCTTGACTTGCTGGTAAATATATACATTTAGCTAACCTGATTTGACTATAGCAGTTACATCGGGGATATTCAAATTAGATTTTACATAAAAATACCTTACTGTAAGTGAGTCAGTATATGGACTTTCGATATGGGATGTATCTAACGCCATTTGAATATGATAATGAATTATAATTATTTTCTGTGGGAATGCTAATATATCTTTAATATTGCGATAAACGATTCATCGATCATTTGAAGTAATCAATCGTTAATTAAAAAAATTATATATATATATAAACAGGAAGGGTTTTGGTATTAGTACCCGAGAAGTTTACCTTTCTTCGCAGTTTATTTTTTTATATAGTGGATGAAATTGGGTTTTCTATGAGAAAGTTAGTTTTAAACAAAGATAATTCAAAATAGATAATTGGAAATATTAATTCATCTTTAAATTGTGTGCCACTTTTTTACATTTTTTAAAAATCATGGCAATTTTTAATTTATTAAAGATGTTTGTTTCCATAGTGATATTGTGTATGTTTATTGTCAGAGTTAATTGTCATGGATACATGTCTGTTCCACCAGCAAGGTCATATGTTTGGAAGGTTGATGATTTTATGAGTCTTGATCCTCATGTTAATTATGATTATATGAGTTTAAACTGCGGAGGCCTAACAGTAAGTAATTTAATGTAATTCTAACACTATTCGTCTGGAACAGAGGTGACATCACCCCTTCTGTTTATCCCCACCACACCTTTGGAGACTCGAAGAAGTCGGGTCATAAGCTGTAGCTTAGCGCTAAGCACACTACACCGAATCGTCGACTGACCGGTTCAAATTCCGGCATGGACCGATAACAATCTTGGGATGTCCTGTTCCCACTTCTTGTCCAGCGGCGGTACAAAGAAAATGTTATCCAGTTGTTTGGATGGGACGAGAAACCGAAGACCCATTGGCAGTTGGTATTTGGTGAAATTTTGGCGTTGCGCATAAACTCGGTCGTCATTACTGACGTTGGTATGATAACAAAGTCTCGATTATACAATTTTACCTTAAATTATCCATCACAAAATGTTTTCAAATCCAGTAAATATCGCAGGCTAACAATGGCATCGAGGGTTGATTATGGTCTGGATAAGTTAATCCAATAGGAATATTTAGCTCTTGTAATCTGCATGTTTAATGTTTTGCACAAATGAATGCAAATTTAAATTTTAATCGAATGGATTGAACATGTCCCGTACTGATGAGTTAATTAATAGACCAGATAAGCCTAATTAAACATTTCATTTCGCCCTAGGCCACACCAATTTGATTTTTTGTTCTTCGGGTCTTGATAAATCACGTGAAAGATGTTTTTGTTTAAAATTTCCAAAATTAAAAATTTGGAACTGAAAGCCTCTAAATAAATCTTATTCCCAGATGAAATAAGAAGGACATTTTTACAGCTGGTGTCTCCTAATCAAATACGTTTTGCTTCTTTAATACTTTACAGAACGGGTAATTCTTTAAAAAAAATAATTAATTTCAGAATCAGATATCAAACGGCGGTAAATGTGGTATTTGTGGTGACAGTTACACTGGGCCAAGACGTCACGAACCAGGAGCAGCTGGTATATATGCCCAGGGAATCATTACTGGATGTTACTCTGATTCCGACACGATTGACGTCACGGTACATCTCACAATGAATCACATGGGCTGGATGGAATGGAGGCTCTGTCCTCACAATGAGGTCACTACTACCGTGACGCAAGCATGTTTAGACCGGAACCTATTACAGATTGTTGGTGATGGAGACAGTAATTGGTATAAAGATGGCGAAACACGCCTGATGATAAGTTCTGTTGGAAGTAAATCTAACGATTATTTTAAAGTATCTTTAGCAATACCCGATGGTGTAAAATGTGATGGTTGTGTTCTTCAGTGGATTTATAAATCAGGTAGGTCTGACATTGGAGGAACCCACCTTCCCTATGTAAAATATAAGTAACCAGGAGCCGCGTACCATATAAATCTATCGCTAAATCGATGTATTAAATCGCGAGACACTGAATCGATGTATCGCGATTCATTTTTTTAATGGTTTTTTTTGTCGCTTCAGTAAGTAATAATGTCACTCTTAATTATCCACGTCACACATTATCCTTATCCTAATTGTGATCCACATCAATATCGTGATTAAAAAAACCAGTTTTATTCCTCGACATCGACAGGACTAAAAATATCAGTTATTCATTGATCCTGTTGTTTTCTTGGTAAATATTGACCTGGTTATGAATCGTGATACGAATCGTATCGTAGCACCTGAATCGCAATACGTAGTGTTTCTTGACTGCAGTGGCAATACTCGACACTACCGCACAGTAGATTATAAATTGAGGAGGATACCGTCGAGCACCAAAGATGCGAGCATGATGGAAGATGTATATTTCCCCAGGTGTAATCTGATACAAAATTATCACAAAATTTGTCCGCTATTACCAAAACTATAGTTCAAAGATATTTGAAAAGTAGTATTAGTTTACGTTTATTTTTCTTAAATTTCAGGTAATAACTGGGGCTGTAAAACTGTTGATGGGTCGAAGATCTGTGACGTGGGGCTTGGTCCTGAACAGGAGGAATTCAGAAATTGTGCCGATATCGCCATACTGGATGATTGCCCCGACAATGTCCTTGACCTCCCCATGAATAACCCTGGAAGTCATCACATGTCTGACGGAGTTAGTCCAACACAATCTAACGAAGGGCACAGAATCCTGCATTTGTCGGAAGTACCGGAAGTGATGCACCAGCATGAAACGAGTTTCAGTCATCTTCATCAAGGAATGCACGAACATGATCACGAAGCACCCGAAGAAGAGGTTGCCGATGAAAAACAAAATCTGCTTCATGCTCTTTCTCAACAAATCAATTCGTTTATGCACCTTGCTGCTCATCACCCCCTGCCCTTATCCCAAGAAGATGATTTAGATAGTGACGCAGATGAAGGCGATACATCAAATGATGCTCAGGATATTCCGCAGGTTAGTGGGAGTACGGACAATACCCCCGTTGATTTAGTTCAAACATTAATTGATTGGTCGCAAGTAGGCCCGATGGCTTTATCCCCAATTGGAGAATTAACGCAACACAGTTCCGATCCTACAGATTCACAACACATCGATGTTGATGAACAGGAAGTCCCAACTATTAATGATTTCACAGAAGACACCGTGGATAGTCAACAGCCCCTAGTACCCCCCCAGGAAACACAAGAAGACACACCACTTCTTCACCATACTCATCAGCATTCACTACATGTGGCAGATCCACCCGGAGTTGAAATCATAGAGGTACCTCTTTCATCTCAGAATCAGGAAGCTTCCGTGGGATCAAAACCAGTTTCTATTCTTATTGCTAAACAGCCTAGACGACAGGCAGCACGGGCACCATCGGGATATTGCTCCTTACATCTAGATCTTGGATCGAACGCAAAGTTGGAGACATTTTGTTTTAACAGAAATTGTCAAGTAGATTTTGCAAGCAGAAAATGTCATTGTTTCTAATGCAAGATCTGTATTTTAAATATAATTAAGCTCGTATAAAGTCAAATGTACACAACATATAAAAACGGTGTTTACATTTTTTTTTCATTTTAAATGAATGAGAGATTCGGGAACAGGCAAAATTCCTATGTCAGGCCCCTGGGTTGGCTGAGGTGAATAAAATTTAAAGGGAAATTGAAATTAAAAAAAAAGGAACCCCAGATGTAGATTACCAATATTTTATTACAACAGCGGGATAATTATATACTATCAATTAAATATGAATTCAAGACATCATAAAACTTTACCCCATCTCCTCGTACGCACTAAATCAGTGTTTGAAATAATTAGTTCGATAAGCCGAGGGTGAAAAGTCCATGCGATTTCAAGACTAGTATATTATAAAAAGAGATCTTTGGTAAATAAGCCGAGGGTGAAAAGTCGATGCGATCTCAAGATTGTATATTCTTAAAAGAAGTCGAAGGTGAGTAAGATGTGCGCACAACCTAAAAGGCGCCCAAATATATCGCCAATCTTTTACAAATATACTGGTGTGGGTTGACTTTCTTAAAGTTAGCCCCGGTTCCCATTTAATTCTGGACATAGTCTAGGTATATTTTCGTTCCCTCTTTCTAACATATCACATATAAAACGCAATAAGATAACAAAGGTTTGTCAGCTATGGGAGCTCCCCAAACTAGAATTGGCATCAGATATCAGACATTCAAGAAAGTAAGAAGACGTTGCTTAGCGATAGTTTGGACCTAGAATTTTAGAAGCTTACAGCTATTCGGTTAAGGAAGCCACGGTAGCTAAGTTAGTAAGACGCTGGGGTTTCGATCCCGGTGTTGGCCTAGAACGGTCATAAGGATTTTTCCGGCGTGGTTTCCCCTTGTCAGTGGTGCAGGGCGGGAGGCCACACGAGGACGCTGGCTCTCTAGCCTGGAGGTCGCGGGTTCGATCCCGGTGTTGGCCTAGAACGTTCATAGGAATTTTTCCCCTTGTCGGTGGTTCAAGACGAGGTTCTGACAAGGACAACTGTCTAGTTGTTCGGATGGGACAAAAAAAAACAAGGTCCCGTGTACACATTTGCGTGCACGTAAAAGATCCCATGGCAGTTGGAATTCGATATAAGAGTAGACTGTGGCGCCGCTGTCCGGGCAAAATTTCCCTCATACCACACTGTATGGCGTAAACCCGTCTTCATTAGCCCAGTCGGAGCAGCATTAGGAAGTTAAACTCCCATTTCATTTCATTTCTATTCGGTTGAGGCTGCTGTATCTCATCCTTCCATAATATCTTAACCCGTCCATAATTGCGTACCCAGTTAAATAACACCCCACCCGTCCATAGCATCTTCCCCATTTTGATAACATCGCAGATGTCCATAGCATCTTAACCAGTAAGACACCATCGCACCTCTCAATAAATAATGTCTTACCGGGTTAGATAACTTCGCATCAGTCCATAGCAGATACCCGGTTGCTAGATAACATCGCACCTGTTCATCGCATTTTGACAGTTGGAATTCGATATAAGGGCAGGCCGTAGCGCCGCTGCCCGGGCACACTGTATGGTCATTAATAAGATCTTAAAAAGGAATTATGGAGCAGAGGTTTGTGATTAAGGGGAAACAACTCTAAATATCTAAAGTACGCCACAGACCACAAGTTGATGCTCCCAGGTCAACAAATTGTCGTTGGTCTTTGTATCACAAAGGCGAACCATGTGGCAATATCTTGCTCCAAAACATGGTAAGAAGTTGCAGGGGCTAACTGAAGGGAACGCGCTGACGCGTTTTGCGTCGCGGATTTCAAGAGATTTTGCTCCCTTTCTCAAATGGACCCCCCCCCCCCCCAAAAAAAAAAATACTAAAAATTCGTGGTTTCAACGCTATCGGCATGGAATTGCCATATCTATTCTAACGTATAACCGGATGCAAAAATGAAAAATGAAATGGGGTTTAACGTTCTACTTTTCTGTACCGACCGGGCTGACAAAGACTGGATGCAAATTATGTGAAAAATTATTTAAATACTATACTTCCCAGGTATATTCTGAATGACGTATGCCCGTCTTTATTAGCCCGACTGATACAGAAAAGACACGTTAAACCCCATTGTCAATTTCAAAGTCAAGTTAATTTCAAAAATATGTATGGATTATTGTAGCCTCTATTGCAATCGGAATCACTATCCTTAAAACCCGGCTTGCACCAAGACTTGTTTCCATCACCTGCTGATTGTATACGAGTACATCTAACTAAAAACAATCTGAATGCAAGAGAGAGAAAGAAATTGGGCTTAACTTCCACTAGACAAACTTTAGCAGTGGGAGGAAACCGGAGGACCCAGAGAAAACCCACGAGGTTGGACAGGCGACCCTACTCCTTGTTACGTACAACCGGGGATTCGAAACCACGCCAGTTGCCTCAATGACAGGCCTTATGATACAGCGAGCACGTGCTAACCATTCGGACACCCAACCCCGCTGAGGTGGGAGTGAAAAAACAGATTGTGTTATTTTATTTTTGTATCATAATTAAATACAAATGTTCTGATTCTCTACATCCAATTGGCTATTTTTCTAAAAGACCGGCTTTCATGATACTACATACCATATCTAAGCCGACTTTCGGATCACCACTGGCAATGGCATCTCTAATTACACCATGACGGACAGTTCCAGTAAATTTCCTCAAAATTTGTTTCAGTTTTCTCTTTCGTGCTGCGGTTAGCCTCTTCATCAATAACCGTTTGTGCAAATCCTGAATTTCTTTGTGGATTTCAGAAGTGCTTGTCGGAAGCGACCTGACCAATGCTGCAAGTATGCGAGCAGTATTTAAAGAAATGTGCTTATCCGAAGCGAAATGATCTGGATCAACTTTGTTTCCAGGGGTATGGCGTCCACTCCGTTTCTCCAGATAATCAAGGAGGTTATACATGAAAGGTAATTCTCTAGTTTCTGGAGGTGAATTAGTAGTTGGTTTCATTCGCTTTACACATGCCGCCTTGATTAATCTATAGCTCGCCGTATATGACTTCTCTAAAAAAAAAAAAGAAAAAAAAGGGAGTAAGGCACTGACAAGGAACAGCGGTTAGTCGTTCGGATGGGACAGAAAAAAGCGGCTGCCAGACAGGACACGCCCACATTTTCGAGAGATGGATAGAGAACAAGCTAACAAGAAAGTGATTTTTCCTACAACCAAGGGCCATAATTCAGGAAATTACAATTCGATATGCGTAATTATCGAAAGGAACCGAGATCTTTGTGTTATAAACTTACATTTCAAGTTTCCACAAAATTGGATAAAAATTGTGACCTCCATAAGATCCACAACCTTGATATACCATATTTTGTCTGTCAGTTTTGGGCCGATTTTCACGAAATTCTAACTCAGCCGTCCTTATGGTGTAACGGTGATATAAAAATACGTTTTTTTTTAAATCGGATAAAAATTATGACCTCTATAGGGCCCACAAGCTAAAAACGCAATTTTTCGTACAATCAGGGGCCATAATTCAGGAAGTTACGGTCCGATATGCGCGAATATCGAAAGGAACCGAGACCTTTGGGTTATAAATTTACATTTCAAGTTTCATCAAAATCGGATAAAAATTGTGACCTCTATAGGGTCCACAACCTTGATATACCGTGTTTTTACACTATTTGAGAACGAACGGCGGCCATTTTGTCTGTCAATTTTGGGCCGATTTTCAAGAAATTCAAACTCAGTCGTCCTTAGGGTGTAACGGTGATATGATAATACGGTTTTTTAAATCGGATAAAAATTATGACCTGTATAGGGTCCACAAGCTAAAAATGCGATTTTTCGTACAATCAGGGGCCATAATTCAGGAAGTTACGGTCCGATATGCGCGAAGATCGAAAGGAACCGAGATCTTTGGGTTATAAACTTACATTTAAACTTTTAACAAAATCGGGTAAAAATTGTGACCTCTATAGGGTCCACAAGCTAAAAACGTGATTTTTTGTACAAACCGGGGCCATACTCCATGAAGTTTCGATCAGATATATGCCAATATCGAAAGCAGCCGAGATCTTTTGGAGATAAACTTATATTTTAAGTTTCGTCAAAATCGGATAAGAATTGTGACTTGTCGAGTGTCCACAAACAATTGTGGACTGACAGACGGACGTCCGGACGGACAGGGGCGACAACAATATACGTCCACATGAAAATGTGGGCGTATAAGAACCTAGGTTCTGTTTACACATTGGTGTGCACGTAAAATAACCCTTGATAATTGAAATCCTAATAAAATTTTAGCCCATAGCACCGCTGTCCGGAAATCGCATGCCGTGTTCACCTTGGCATGCTCATAAAAGATCCCCTTGACAGTTGGAATTCGATATAAGAATAGACCGTTGTACCGCTGGTGGTAAAAACATCCCTCATAGCACACTGTATGGTGTATGCCCGTCTTCATTAGCCAAATCGGAGCAGAACAGTAGGACGTAAAAACCCATTTCATTTCATTGCATTTAATGATTGGTAGGTTGATCTTGGGTCTTATCACTGGGCGCATATTTAAACCAAAATTAGAGAGAGAGAGAGAGAAATGGGGTTTAACGTCCACTCGACACAAACTAGGTATTTCGGGACTAACATATGGTTTAACTTTATTTCAATAATTCGCTTGCGCGTAGGGGTCTTTAGCAGTGGGAGGAAACCGGAGGACCCGGAGAAAACCCACGAGGTTGGACAGGCGACCGTACTCCTTGTCACGTACAACCGGGGATTCGAAACCACGCCAGTTGACTCAATGACAGACTTTATGATACAGCGCGCGCGTGCTGACCATTCAGCCATCCAACCCCCCAAACCAAAATTAATCGAAGTAAATAACCGAAACCCACTCCAACACATATACACGTAATATTTCAAATAGATATTGTAATATAGCATAAATCATACCGACAAAACTCAGGGGTTCCTGAAACTGCAGGTGGTCCCAGACCTTGTTAGAATTCGGGACTCAAAAAAAAAAAGAATAACAAGGGAACAACACACACAAACTCGCGCGATATAACGCTTAGTTTAAAATATAATATGGTACCCTCCATCATTCGGGGTAATTACACTGAAAATCCGAAAATGCATTAAAGACAATTCAAATGAAATGAAATGGGGCTTAACGTCATACTGTTCTGCTCCGACTCGGCTAATGAAGACGGTCAATTGAAATGAAAAGGGGTTAAAGGTCCTACTGAGCGCCCCGGTATAACACAGATCGTATTGCCTATATAGTTGTTCGCCGATCGTTATCTTGTCTGAAGGCAGTTTTATTCAAGTTGACAAATTTCATGTCATATTTGTTGACAAATTTCATGTCATATTTATTGATTTTGTTATTATTTTCACTTGTGAACCTTAGGGGCGTTTACTCGGTCTTATTGGGAAAAGGGGTGCACCATTGAATCCGCGCCTGATCAAACCTGAACTCATCATATGAAAGAGTAACTTTTCTTGCAAACTGGTTATATTGAGATTCGAAAAATGCGAAACAGAACAAAACTCAAACCGTAGGGAGTTGTATTAGTGTGACTTTTTTTATTTGTATTTCTTTTGTGAAGACCGTGATCAGTAAGATATCAGAAGTTAAAAACTCAATCGACTAATACTCACTTGATTTCTGTTCAGTAAGAGTTACGAATAACAAGAAAACAATAACCATTATTAGCTTCATATCGTAATGTATCTAGTCCAGGAAGATCTACAATTAGCAAACAAATTCATTAGGCATTTTCCTGAAGTGATGGTTAGGAGCATTGTTATAAACCATTAAATTAGATGTTTGATTTTGGTATTATATGATGCCGCAACATCTTACATCCGAATAATCAAATCTTCCCCCATAAGTTGATAACCATTTTATTTTGTTTTGAAGACTGCAAAATTCAAAATGTTCAGTTATCCGCACTGCTAACACTTTAAACTGGCATATCTAGCCCATGTGTTATGTACACAATCTTTTTTTAAAATCCATTTCACAAAAAGTTTTCTTCCATAAGCAACTACAAACCATGAAACTGGATAATGATCTGATAGGTCAAATTCAAATTTAGAATATGATACTACACGAAACGAAATCTTGCATTTGTATCATTGCTGCCTTGTCAAGTGTTGGTAAATTTTACCAAAAATTAAATGGGGTTTAACGTCCTTCTGTCCTGTTCCGACTAGACAATGAAGATGAATGTTACCAAAAGGGCTATTTTCCAAAATTTGGAAAGATTATTATTCATTTATGTTAAAATAATAAGCATTTTGAGGGTTTGATATATAATTTATTACCTAAATATAATTTTTCTGTTTTGAGGGAGGTGGGGCAAAATTCTTTTCTAAGGAGTACCAATTTGCAACACATTATATTTTCCAATCATTTATTCAGCTGGACATTTCCACATTATATAGTGGACTAATAATTATTTTACTGTAAAACTTAGTAAATATGTTCACTATTTAATTATCAGTGTATCTTTATGATTCCAGGCAAAAAGTTTGGATGGGTGAGTTATGCAGCCATAAATATGTTAACAACGTGTATTCGTTATAAAAATACCTGAAAACAAAAGCAGTTTCAAGAAAATTTTGATGCAGTATTTACTCTTTTCCATGTAAACCCGAAATATTTAATCCAGATGATGTTTGGGATGGCACTCCATACAAATATTGTTCCCTTGAGAAAAAAAGGAGGATATTTGAAAGAAAATGTTTGATTGTATGGACTTGGTGTGCTAAAACAAAGATACTTTTCAAAATTTGAAGTCTTCTTGGTTGTAGTGTAAGTGTATATATTCAGGCATCGCTGTGAGACTTCGTGATTTCCCATGTTGAGTTGTTTACCCTGTAGCTGCGCAGTGAGTGCTGAATGGTATATTTGCTTCATATTTTCCACAGTTACATGTTCGAAAGTCATCATTTTGTTTATTTTCATCCATTTTTTATTGTTTATGGTTACACACAGTAACAACAATACCACATTTCGTTTCTACATATTATAATAAGGGACTCATTACCAAACTTTGTCAACAGACACGATCCATTTCTGACCATGACAAATGTGTTTATTAACCTATAGTTCAATTCATGTATCATATCAGCACGGACCCCCCTTTCTTGTTATTCTCACAATATTTCATAAACAATTTAATTTGCGTTTTAAATATACTCATACCATAACTAATGTACTGGCAATGGAGAATACAAATAAAACATATGTATTTATCAAATTATAACTCATGTCCTCTGGTGCACTTATATTCGTCGAATACAATTTTCGCATAAATTATGAAATAGTATTTCACAAGAACTGTCAGCATCTACATCTTAGATATAATGCCTCTTTAAGTAAGGATACATTATCTGAAGGAATGCCTACTCACCAGGTTATAGTAGTATAGTCAGGTCAGTTTTACCAACAATAGTAAGAGCGATCTGCAGACCGTACAACAGGATAATCCCAGGTCACGTGTCATCATTAAAACAACAAAAAACACGTGGTCGGCACGATTTCAATGGGGTACTCGATTGAACGTCCGGGAATTGAATTCTCTCAATCCCAAAAATAGTGACAATCGAGTGAAAATGGGTATTTCGGACAACAACGCATGCGTCGACTGGATAAATAGAGAATCTATGAGGGTTTTTTTTTACATTATCCACGAGTTTTGATATTTTTTGATATCATAAAAGACGAGTAGGAGAGTTTATTTATCACTCAATCCTTTCTTACATGTACAAATAAATAAATAAATACATGTATAATGCTTTGCTATAGATTTCACCTTTACTGAACCGGATAACATGCGGCGTAGTGATACATCATTTTTTAACATCAATTCAACCATTGCAAAGTCCTTTATATTGACCCAGTGTTTCCATCAAGGTCAATTAATTTTTAAAAAAGTTCATTTTTAATAAAAAAAAAAGAAAAAGAAGAAGTGTTCGTTGAAAATGAAAAAAAAAGTTCCTTTTTAACTGACCAATCAAATTCATGTAAAGCAGTAGATTATGGGTGATAAGTAAATATCTCAACCAACCATGCAGCCGAAACATATTTGTTGTATTTAATTCCGTCACGATTCTAATCACACCACCTCCGTAGTCGGGACTCACAGAACTGTGACAGGGCTGAATTCCGCGTCACTTGATTGCAATTCTGTCAATTCGGGACGTTCTGGACCGTGAATCGAGCATCCCCTAATCACTGTCATAATAATAGCACAGGGCCGCGTTCTTGTGTTATTCTTGACGTTTGTGTTGCTCCACTTTACCTTTTTTTTAAATTCAAGATTTTCCTATATTCACAGATTTGTTAAGTCGATGTCATACTCCTCGCAGTGTTTCGTTTGATTATACCTAATCCCACTAAACACTGCTTTAACGAAAGCAAATTTCTGTTCCAAATTATGACTGGTCAATGGTCCGATTAAAAACCAATAGCTAACTGCGTTACAAAAGCATTACGCTTAAAACAGAGCTCCAAATTGGACCAAATATGTTTACATAACGTTACGTCATTACTCACGATTTTATTATGCCCAATTAACCAGTGCATAGCAGAATATTGCAGAAAAACTAATTGCGTGACAAACGAGGCTATCAAATCGAAAACAATTTAAACAATACTTTTTGGAGACGAACATACTTTCCACCTTTTTTAATACCTTAAATCACTGTCCTAGGTTTTAGGGAAGATCTAGATTAAACGAAAAGAAATGAAATGGGGTTTAACGTCCTACTGTTCTGCTCCTAAACTGGGCTAATGAAGACGGCCAGATTAAACGAAGGGCTGTCATGTTGCTGTACTTGGGATAGATTTGATTGAACGGGAAGAATAGACAACGTCCCTCAAAAGCTCAAGTATCAGAAGCCAATCCAGCAATGGCCAGAGAGGGGTTTCTCGGGCCATTGCTTCAGGAGTATGTTCATATCAGTCTATCAGATTACTTATTTCCATACGGAAGGGGAGCGTGGGGTTGGATGGCTCAGTGGTTAGCGCGTGCTCCCTGTATTATAAGGTCTGTCATTGAGTCAACTGGCGTGGTCTCTATTCCCCGGTTGTACGTGACAAGGAGTAGGGTCGCCTGTCCAACTTTGTGGGTTTTCTCCGGGCCTCCGGTTTCCTCCCACTGCTAAAGACCCCTACGCGGCGCAAGCGAATTATTGAAATAAAATTGAACCATATGTTAGTCCCGAAATGACCTAGGTTGTGTCGAGTGGACGTTAAACCCCATTTCTCTCTCTCCGAACAGAATTTCAAAACACTGCCGGACTCGACGCAGATTTATGTCCCAAATTATGAGTGGTCAACATTCGGGTCAACAACCAATACATTACAGCGTAACAAAATCAATCGGGATTAACCAGAGCTCAAACTATGTTAACATAGAAACGTCAACGCTGATGCTCGCACGACCCCTGACGCGACATTCGAGCACAACTGGTCAGATATTCATGTAGTGTAGGCTATCGGAAGTATAAAAAAAAAACGAAACGAAATATAGATCTGTATTTTAATTGCAGATTGGGCTAAGAGGGATTTCTCGATCTATTGCCTCAGGAATAATAATTAGTACATTGTGTTTGAAAAGTCACCAATAAAGTAAACGCTACCTTGCCAATCTCAGTCTTTTAAAGAGTCTTTAAAAGTTGCTTTTATTGCGATTAAATACAGAAGGATTTAGAACGATGCGGTTTTCCAGAGTTCAATTACATGTATATTAAAAGTACACAACGTGAAGTGAAGTTAACTAGTCTGTCATACAAGATCTTCTTGCGACCAGGATAGTGTCGCATTGTCGATCTGAAGCCGATGACACGGATAGCCTTACTTAGTTCCTTTTTGATGCCGTGAAACACATGATAGTGACAAAGGTGGGCAAAGTGTCACTTTTGTTGATTAAGTGCCGGTACACAGAGCAGTACTACAGACTTTATATAGAAAACTACAATGCTATTCTATAGGATTCTTTGTTAAAGGAAGCAACGTTCAAGAGTTATGAATGAAATCTCCCCCCCCCCCCCCCGCCCAGAAATTACAGGCGTTAATAAATAATAAACAACTTGAGCAATTAAAAATACGACGACCTTATATTTTCTATTAACGTTTAGAGAAAAAATATAACTAACTTATTTCTATGAGATCCACACTGCCCGAAAAGTATTTTCTCGTCTTTTTATATTGATTTCGGGCAATTTTCTCTTATGCCCCCCTGAATTACTTTGAGCTCCTACGCCTATGCCCTTCCTTTTCCTTAAATATAATTTTTGCTACATATTTCCACATTTGAAAAGGTCTAAGAACATTGGTTAAATAGCTTCAGGAAAAGGACAAGCAATTACTTGCCAACAAACCTGGCTATTATTATTATTGTAAACAATAGCCACGTCGGTCAGTTATTGTGAGTTGACATTAGAAAATGGCAACATTGATAGAAGTACTAAATAGCTTTCAAAAATGTACTCACTGAAGTACGACCAGGTTATTTTTAAGTGTTTTCCAAACAAAAATTCACAGTACAGTTCACATCCGACATCGGTTTTTGTTACTTGAATTCTTATAAAAGATATAAAATATTTATATTGTATATTGTTATAATATAGATAAAGGCCTGTACTTTGTGGAGCTAAATGGTTTTCATACGTCTCAGAATAGAAAACAATTAGAATTTATTTGCCGCAAAATATCTTTTGAGAAAAAGATACGGAAGCGTATAGGGGTCATGCAAATTTTTGTAGAAGGTCTCGAGATCCTGCGATCCTGTGATACTTTCTCGAAATCCCGTGATCACCTGGTAATTTTCTCGAGATCTCAATTTAATGTTCTCGAAATCCCCTGATATCTTTCTTGAGATACTGACATTCTGTGTAAATTTTCTCGAGAATTCGAGTTAATTTTCTCGAGATATTGACATCCTATGTAAATTTTCTTGAGATCCCGAGTTAATATGAAACCATATATGATAGTGTCTCAACGTTGCGAAGCAACCATTGTCCCAATACTTCGCACCAAATTTGATAAAAGAAAAATACTCTAACATTTGTTACAAAGGAAAACTGCTAACTAATGAAAGAATATACGGACAATCGATAGGACACCCATGATTTACATTAAATTTGAAATATGATTAAAATCGATTGGGTTCGTCGTCTTATGGCCCCAATACTTCACACCAAATATGAAATTCAAAACCCTACCACGTTAGCTTTAATGTGTAAAGCTTTGAATTACAGACTTGCTTGTTAAATTATTTCAATTGAATGTGTGGGCGACGTTTAATTGAAAATGTCATTTTTGTATGGTTTTCGGACCATATTTTGTTTTAGAATAAAGCTAGACAGAGAGTTTATTGTCTTGTGGCACAAATGCTTTGGAGCAGATTTTAAATAAAAAATCTTGAAAAACCCTGGGCTCTAACGCGTTCACAAGGTTTACCGGAAAATAGGAATAACGCCATAACAAAATTTCAGGGAGCGCTGCAAATCAATAAGGTTCATTGTTCTGCCGAAAATAAAAAGGGTTCCTCTGCTTGTGATACGAATGATTCAAAAAAAATTTGAACGATAGTCACGCAAAGTGTGGAGATACGCCCATATGCATCAACAACAGATTATTCGAAAGGAAAACTTGGTTGTTTAATAAATTGTATAAGCATCTAGCATTTATCAAGAAATCTAATCTCTATCATGTTCGCCTGCTTGTTATCTCTCTGGGACAGAAATCTTATATTGCTGAAAATTAACAGGGGTCATCCTTGTCGCGGAACACTGAATATCGAAAATCCGATAAAACACAAAATTTGAAACAAAACCGTTAAAAACTGTAGGCTCTATCGTGCTATTAAGGTTCTCGGGAAAGTGTGGGTGTGTGTGGGTGTGTGTGTGTGTGGGGGGGGGGGGTAAACTCCGAAACAACAGGTTGTAGGGCGCTGAGAATACGTTAAAACTACGCGCACACATAAAAATACCCGAGATCTCGAGAAAATTTACACAGGATGGCAAGATCCCGAGAACATTAACTCGAATTCTCGAGATCGTTTACGCAGGATGGGAGATTCTCAAGAAATTTATTAGGGGATTTCGAGAACATTCAATTGAGATCTCGAGAAAGTATCACAGGATCGCGGGATCTCGAGGCCTTCTACAAAATTTTGCATGACCCCTATACGCTTCCGTAAAAAGACACAAGAAATAAAAATTGTGGAGAAGAAACAACATAATATTTTTCGACCATACTTGTTTCATATTTAACAATTAATAATGTAAAAAAAAAAGATAATAAAAAAAAAATGATTCAAAATAAAAGCGCAATTCAATTATTACTTAAATAATAATAATAAAAAAAACAGTTAATAATCTACAAAGCCCAACTCCAATGAAAAACTAAAACAATACTAATTCAGAAGTGTGGTTGTTATTTATTTAATCTTAGGTAAAATAGCAGTACATAATACATAGGAAATATCACAATAACAGTAACGCCAAAGTGGG